TTTGCAAGGGTGGCCCCTGGTGGAAGAAATGAGAACCGCTGCCCAGGCGTCAGGGATGGCTTCAGGGCTGTCTGGCAGAAACCTGAACTTCATGTCTAGCCTTGTAAGATAGGACAGCGGGAATTTTTATAAAAGAGCACTTGGATGAAATAGAAATTCCATCGGACAGTTATTTGAAAGGGAGGAAAACAGGCCAAGCTGAGAGTTTCCTAGAATGAATGATCTTATCGACTGTTCCCCTCTGCCTGGAAGCCTCTTTGAGTCAGGCTTCTGCAAGGCTGGCTCCTTCAGGTCCCAGCTCAGGTGGTTCTACCTCAGAAAGCCCTGCCCTCACCATTGCAATAGATGTTACATCTTCAGCAAACTCCCTTCTCCTCTGCCACTCTTATATCACCCTCTTTTATTTTAATTTCTATTACTTACCACTGCCTGAAATTATAAGTTCCTGTCTTTGTCCATCTCTTCCTCAGTAGTGTAAGCTCAATGACAGCAGGAACCTTAATTATCTTCGTCATGATTTGTCCTCACAGTCCAACACAGTGTCTGGCATAGAGCTTGATGGTTACCTATTTGAATGAGTCCGTTGAGATTCTAATGTATAGTGTAGATGCTTCAACCACAGCTTCTCCAGCTTTAGGGCATTAATACTTTTTAAAGTTTTAATTACTTTATTTATTTTTTGAGATAGAGTCTCGCTCTGTTGCCCAGGCTGGAGTGCAGTGGCGCCATCTCAGCTCACTGCAACCTCCACCTTCCAGGTTCAAGAGGTTCTCCTGTCTCAGCTTCCCAAGTAGCTAGAATTACAAGTGCCCGCCACTATACCTGGCTAATTTTTTTTTTTTTTTTTTTTTGTACTTTTTGGTAGAGACGGAGTTTCACCATGTTGGCCAGGCTGGTCTCAAACTCCTGACCTCAAGTGATCTGCCCACCTCAGCCTCCCAAAGTGCTGGGGTTACAGGCATGAGCCACTGTGCCCAGCTTTTTTTTTTTTTTTTTTTGACAGGATCTCACTCTGTTGCCTAGGCTGGAGTGCAGTGGTGCGATCATGGCTCGCTGCCACCTCAATCTTCTGGGCTCAAGTGATCCTCCCACTTCATCTTCTCAAGTAGCTGGAACCACAGCTGTGTACCACCACGGCCAGCTAATTTTATTTTTATTTTTTTGTAGAGATAGGGTCTCCTTATGTAGCTCAGGCTGGTCTCAAGTTCTTAGGCTCAAATGATCCACCCGCCTCAGCCTCCCAAAGTGCTGGAATTACAGGCATGAGCCACTGTGCCTGGCTGATATTAATACTTTTAAAAGTTTTAATACCTTAATAGCTATAGAGCTTTAAGTAGTTTTGTCTCTAAGCCATTGATCATAATGTTCTCCACCCAAGTAGTCCTTTTCTGTCTTTTGCATTTGTCTTGCTACCCTGCATGATCAGGTTAAAGACTTTTTCCTATGAAACCTTCACTGTCTCTCCAAACTGACAGTGATTAGTTGATCAGTTTCTCCTCTGTGCCCCAGGCTGTAAGTAGGTAACACCTCTTTGTTCCTCAGACTATATTCATGTAATCAGCACTCAGTAACTATTGACTTATCAGTGACTTTTGTGGAATACTCATGGGGGCTGAATCAATGATTAATCAAAGCTACATTTGTCTTAAAATTTTTGTTTAACAAACTAAAATAATGCTTATTATGTGCAAGGCGCTGTTCTATGTACCTTAAAACAATCCTAGTAGATAGTTAATATTGTTGCCATCATTCTACAGATAGGTAGACTGAGGCACAGAGAGGTCAAGTAACTTGCCGGAAGTCACAGAGCTCATAAGTGGCAGAGCTGGGACTTAAACCAGGCAGTTTGGACCAGAGTCTACTCTTAACCATTACTGCATGCTGGCTGTCTCATTATCTGCCACTGTTGTTCTAAATGTAAATGGCTTATTTAAATGTAGATTACCCAGAGCATCTCACTGTGCCTTAGGCACTAACTTCTGGGTACAATAGGTCTTCAATCTCAGTTATTTTAGTGATCTGTTCTCATGCTGACTGACAAGGGCCATTGGACGGAGCAGCCTCCTTTTTTCGTTGTTATTGAAAAAGAGAAATTACTTTTGTCTTTTTTGAGTTTCACTCTGTTGCCCAGGCTGGAGTGCAGTGGTACGATCTTGGCTCACTGCAACCTCTGCCTCCCAGGTTCAAGCGATTCTCCTGCCTCAGCCTCCTGAGTAGCTGGGATTACAGGCACCTACCACCATGCCTGGCTAATTTTTGTACTTTTAGTAGAGATGGGGTTTCACCATGTTGGACCAGGCTGGTCTCAAGCTCCTGACTTCAAGTGACCCACCCACCTCAGCCTCCCAAAGTGCTGGGATTACAGGCATGAGCCCCCACACCCAGCCGATAAGTTACTTTCTAGACAAGATAATATTTCAATTGACAAGAAGATGAGAAAGAAATCAGAGCACAAGAAAGTCATCCCGTAATTGTGAAGAACATTGTGGTGATAGCTTTGTTGTTCTGTCACTGGATTATGGTTTGTTTTGGTTGTGTTTGGTTTTGTGGGAGGCTTCCCACAAGTTTGCTCTTTGGAGAAGGAATGCTCTTATCTTTAATCTGTCCAATTTCCTAATCTCTGTGATTTCTGCCCCGCAGTGAGTTTTGAAGATTGCACCGGTCGACAAAGGACAGCCTATTTTTCCCTCGACACCCGATTCAAAGTGGGCCCAGATGGTGTGATTACAGTCAAAAGGCCTCTACAGTTTCATAACCCACAGATCCATTTCTTGGTCTACGCCTGGGACTCCACCTACAGAAAGTTTTCCACCAAAGTCACGCTGAATACAGTGGGGCACCACAGCCGCACCCCGCCCCTTCATGTATGTTGGCATTTTTCTGAGAAGTTCGCTGTTGTTTTAGTGCGCTGTCTGATCCAGGTTTCTCAGCCTTGGTACCGTTGCCATTTTGGACTGGATGATTTTGTGTTGCAGGGGTTGTCCTGTGCACCATGTAGGATGTTTAGCAAGCATCCCTGGCCTTAACTGGGTAGACACCAGTAGCACTTCCACCACTTGTGACAACCCAAAGTGTCTCCACATGTTGCCAATGGCCCCTGAGGGGACAAATCAGCCCCAGTTGAGAGCTCTTGGTCTAACTGAATAATTCTTGCTGGGGTTTTTGGGGTGTGGGGATCAGGTAGTGTAGAAGAGTGGTAAAGGCCTGGACACCGTCTGGGACTGAATCTCAGCCGTGCCATTTACTACTTGGGTAACGTTGGAGGAATTATGTCACCTGTCTATGCTTGAGCTTCTTTATCTGTAAAATGGAGATAATAGTGAGGATGGAATTAATTAATGCATGTGAAATGCTAAAAGTACGCAAGGCATAATTAGTCATTGTTAGCTATCTTTACAACTCCCCTCCTGGGGGAAGAAGAATGAATGAGAGCTGGATTCTTCTTCTCTCTCTCTCTCTCTTTTTTTTTTTTTTTAAAGACGTAGTCTCACTCTGTGGCCCAGGCTGGAGTGCAGTGCTGCGACTCACAGCAACCTCCACCTCCCCAGTTCAAGTGATTCTCCTGCCTCAGCCTCCTGAGTAGCTGGGATGACAGGTGCCCGCCACCACACCCGGCTAATTTTTGTATTTTTAGTAGAGGCAAGGTTTCACCATGTTGGCCAGGCTGGTCTTGAATTCCTGACCTCAAATGATCTGCCTGCCTCGGCCTCCCAAAGTGCTGGGATTACAGGAGTGAGCCACCGTGCCTGGCCGAGAGCTGGATTCTCTGATCGTTTTGCTTTTTGTGCTTCCAGTAAGAAGAGTCTTGGCAAAGCAAGAGAAGAACCAGTGGGCAGCTCTTGCCCCATTAGACTGTAACCTCCACAAGACCCTTTCTCATGGTATTTGCAGTGCCTGGCCTTAGGTCTGGCCCATACCAGGAACAGACAAACAGATGAATTGGCCATGAATGGAAGGATGGATGGATGTCTGCCTAGGTTCTTGGCAGGAATGTTTCTAGGGGTTGTTAATCGAAGCGAGTTTCTCAAGTGCTCCCGTGGTGCTTCCTACTGAAATGTCTCTCTGGGGGATATTCTGGTTGTGTCCTGCTTACTGCTTTGGAAGGGTGGAATGTGTTGTAAGTGCCAGGGCCAGTAAGGTTGGCATCTTCTTTTCTCCCTGAAGACTCTTGATATTCTTGGAACTTAATGGTCCTCCTGATCTGATTTTTCTCCCTGGTGTAATTAGACCAGAAAAATGAGGAGTCTAATACTATAGGACTATATTAACATAGCTCCTTGACTCAGAGTCTCCAAGGGACCCCATCATTCATGTGAAAAAATTTCAGCACAGTGAGTCCTTGCCAAGCAGCTGTGTGTGGAAGCCTCTTACAATCCAGAGACAGTTTTATTTTATTTTTTTAGAGACAGAGTCTTGCTCTGTCTCCCAGGCTGGAGGGCAGTGGTGCAATTTCGGCTCAAGGACATTTCCGCCTCCCGGGTTCAAACAATTCTTCTGCCTCAACCTCTCAAGTAGCTAGGATTATAGGCACCTGCCACCACGCCTGGCTAATTTTTGTATTTTTAGTAGAGATGGTTTCACCATGTTGGCCAGGCTGGTCTCGATCTTCCCACCTCAGCCTCCCAAAGTGCTGGGATTATAGGTTTGAGCCACTGTGCCTGGCTGCAGAGACAGTTTTGAGCTTCAGTCTTCAACTTTGCTTCCACATCTCTTGAACTTTGTGTCTGCCTCCATGTCTGCTGTATCAGGATTGGGTTCAAGTACGTGTTATATAAATCTCCCAATTGTCGTGGTTTGTGCAAAATACTCTCAAGTTAAGGAAGCCCTAGGGTAAGCTGTGCCCAGTATGGAGACTTGATAGTCATCAAGAGTCCAGGTTCCCCCTTTCCTTTTTGCTCCATCATCTTCAGCACATGACTTCATCCTCAAGGAGACGTCATGATCCCAGATGGCTGCTGGAGCTCCAGTCGTCATGTCTTTTTTTTTTTTTTTTTTTTTTAAAATCGTGTTTATTCTAGGCAAGAAGAAGGAGAAAGGAGAAGCATAAAAATGCGTTACTTAATTATCTGTCTGCCTTTTAAGAAACCTTTGTGGAATTCTCCTCAAGCAACACTTAAGAAACACTGGCCAAAACTTAGCCTCATGAGATCATAATAGTACTGGTGTGAAACACCGTGGCAGTTTTTTTTTTTTTTTTTTTTTTTTTTTTTTAAATCGTGTTTATTCTAGGCAAGAAGAAGGAGAAAGGAGAAGCATAAAAATGCGTTACTTAATTATCTGTCTGCCTTTTAAGAAACCTTTGTGGAATTCTCCTCAAGCAACACTTAAGAAACACTGGCCAAAACTTAGCCTCATGACCACATCTAGCTGCACGTGCAGTCTAGGGAATGTAGTCTTATATGAATACATTTCTGGAACGTATATCCCAGAATTAGAAAATTGAGATATATATTGGAGAGATAGGTTTTTATTTTGTTTTTAATCAGGAACAAAGAAAGGATATTGGGTGGTAGGTAGCAGATTCTGCCTCAGCTGGTTTGAGATTCACCTTGGTTTGTCTCTGTAGTTCAAAGGATCCTTCTGGAACCAGATGGTACTGTAATTAGATGGCAGTCTTACCTCGCTTTCAATATATATTTATTAATTTTCAACTTTTTAAAAAAACAACATATCCAGGTAACAATTTTTTTTTTTATTTTTTGGAGACAGAGTCTTGCTCTGTCACTCAGGCTGGAGCACAGTCTTGGGAGCACAGCTCACTGCAGCCTTGACCTCCCAGGCTCAAGCAATCCTCCTGCCTCAATCTTCCATGTAGCTGGGACCACAGGGTGCACCACCATGCCCAGCTAATTTTTAATTTTTATTATTATTACTTTTTTTTTTTTTTTTGTAGAGATAGGGCCTCACCTTGTTGCGCAGGCTCACTACATTTGTATAAGAATAGATCTTAGTCTCTAGTTCTTTCACCTTATTTGGGTGAGTTTTCTCAGTCTGGCATCCTTCTTTTCTTTCTTTTCTTTTCTTTTCTTTTCTTTTCTTCCCTTTCCCCTTCCCTTCCTTTTGTGTTTTTAGTAGAGACGGAGTTTTACCGTGTTGGTCAGGCTGGTCTTGAGCTCCTGACCTCAAGCAGTCCACTTGCCTTGGCCTCCCAAAGTGCTGGGATTACAGGCGTGTGCCACCGCGCCCCACCTGGTATCCTATTTTTCTGAGGGATCAGTTCCATGTGCAGTATTTTCAGGCGTGACTCCCTTTGATTTCACGCATGAAAATGTTAGTGTTATGTTTTGCCAGCACAGTGTTCATCATTATTCATTCTCTGAAAATATTCCACAGTCCTAATGTCAGCAAGGCGTGCATGTTCCTTTCCTTTTCAATGTGATAAATGGGTTTGCATTCATTCATGAGTGCCCATGTGCTCACCATGGCTATGCAAGGTAGCTGGGTTTTGTTGATGTTGTTGTTTTGTTTGTTTTTGTTTTTTTTTTGAGGTGGAGTTTCACTCTTGTCGCCCAGGCTAGAGTGCAGTGGCACATCTTGTTCACTGCAACCTCCACCTCCTGGATTCAAGCAATTCCCCTGCTTCAACCTCCCGAGTAGCTGGGATTACAGGTGTGCGCCACCACGCCCAGCTAATTTTTGTATTATTAGTAGAAACGGGTTTCACCATGTTGGCCAGGCTGGTCTCGAGCTCACCTCAGGTGATCCACCCACCTTGGCCTCCCAAAGGAAAAGCCTGGTGGGTACAGGCATGAGCCACTGCGCCTAGTGAAGGTGGCTGTTTTAAGGCTTAGGATACAGTGGTTTTTCTGGGGTTGTTTTTTGTTTGTTTGTTTGTTTGTTGTTTTTGAGACAGAGTCTCACTCTGTTTCCCAGGTCAGAGTGCAGTGACATGATCTCGGCTCACTTCAACTTCCGCCTCCCGAATTCAAGCAATTTTCTTGCCTCAGCCTCCTGAGTAGCTGGAATTACAGGCACATGCCGCCATGCCTGGCTAATTTTTGTTTGTTTGTTTTTGAGACACGGTCTCTGTTATCCAGGCTGGAGTGCAGTAGCACGATCTCAGCTCACTGCAACCTCTGCCTCCCGGGTTCATACCTCAGCCTCTCAAGTAATTGGGACCTCATGTGTGCGCCACCATGCCCAACTAATTTTTGTATTTTTAGTAGAGGCGGGGTTTTGCCATGTTGGCCAAGCGGATCCCAAACTGCTGACCTCAAGTGATCCGCCCACCTTGGCCCCCCAACGTGCTGGGATTACAGGTATAAACCACCACTCCTGGCCCAGGATACAGTGTTGAGGGTCAGTTTTTTATTTTGTTCCTGTGCTGGGGTCAAATCTCAATAAAACCATAGCTCAGTGTTTTCCAACCAGTCCAGCCATCATCTGCATCATTACCTTTGTTGAGCACTTACTGTGTTTCAGGCACTACTCACAGTGCTTTAAATGTGCAATACCAGCATCTCATTTCATCCTCCCAAGAATTCTATGAGATAGGTTCTAATACTATCCCCATTTCAGACATTAGGAAACTGTAGTACAGAGAAGTTAAGTAATATCTGCCTGGGGCAAGGAGGCACCATCGTGAGGATTTAAAGCCAGGCAGCCTAGCTCCAGAGCCTGCCCTTGGCTCAGGCTGGGCTGGCTCTCTAGGAGACAAACACAGGATGTAGAGGGCAGAGAGTGTAGGTGTGTGCGCATGTGTGCACTTGTGGCCAGTGTGCAGCATTGAGGAAGGGCTCTGTGATGATACCTGGTTATATCTCACATGTATCTGGTGCATCTTTAATCTTTTTTTTTTTTTTTTGAGATGGAGTCTCTCTCTGTCACCCAGACTGGAGTGCAGTGGCGCCATCTCGGCTCATTATAAGCTCCGCCTCCCGGGTTCACACCATTCTCCTGCCTCAGCCTCCTGAGTAGCTGGGACCACAGGCGCCTGCCACCACGCCCAGCTAATTTTTTGTATTTTTAGTAGCGACGGGGTTTCACCATGTTAGCCAGGATGGTCTCGATCTCCTGACCTCGTGATCCACCCTCCTCCGCCTCCCAAAGTGTTGGGATTACAGGCGTGAGCCACTGCGCCTGGCACATCTTCAATCTTAAAGCCAGAAAATAGAGCTGAACTCAAACTTGGCAAGCAGTGATCAGTGACTGTGAGTTTTTATGTGGACGGTGAGAGATGGAATTTTCCCCTGGAAACTTTACTACAGTAATCACTTTAAAACACTTAAACAATTTGGCAAATATTTTCCTTCCATTTTCAACTCTCTTATTTCCCTGCATGTGCATAAAGTTATCTTTATTGCATATGAAAACTGTTCAATACAAGTCTCAAAGGGTATTTTTGGCTCCCATCCCAACAGCTTCTGTTAGAACAAATGGAAACCATATAGATATAATGATACAGTGAAATGAAGAGATTTGTATTGATCACAAAGTAGTTCTTAGTACCCGTCCTCAAAATCTACTTGTTTTGGCTGATAACTCCACTTTGGCGACCTATGTCCCCAAGAAAAACATGAAAGAGGCTGGGTGCGGTGACTCACACCTGTAATCCCTGCAAATTGGGAAGCCAAAGCAGGAGAATCACTTGAGCCCAGGAGTTCGAGACCAGCCTGGGCAAGATGGCAAGACCCTGCCTCTACAAAAATTAAACAAAATTTAAAAATTAGGGGCATGTGGTGGTATATGCCTGTAGTTCCAGCTACTTGATAGGCTGAGGTCAGAGGCTCACCTGAGCTCAGGAGTTTGAGGCTGCAGTGAGCTTTGATCACTTCACTGCACTCCAGCCTGGGTGACAGAGCAAGACCCTGTCTCTATTTTAAAAAAGAAAATAAAAGAAATCAAAAACCCAAATATTCAGTTGTTGAGTAAGCTCTGATATTAAATAATCAGAGTATAATGTTGCTATTAAAAATCACATTATGGGCTGGGTGTGGTGGCTTATGCCTATAATCCCAGCATTTTGGGAGGCCAAGTTGCTTAAACTCACAAGTTCAAGACCAGCCTGGGTAACATGGCAAAACCCTATGTCTACTAAAAATACAAAAATTAGTCAGGCACAGTGGTGTGCACCTGTAGTCCCAGCTAGTCAGGAAGCTGAGATGGGGCGGATGACTTGAGCCTGGGAGGCAGAGGTTGCAGTGAGACAGTCTTGCTGCTGTACCCCAGCCTCAGTGATAGAGCCAGATCTTGTCTCAAAAAAATAAAAATGAGATTATGTAGGCTTGAAACAGCTTGTAAATTATAACATCAAACCCTGAAACCAATACTTGTGTATGCATGATGATTATTGGAACTCTGGACACTAGGAAGGATAAAAAGAGAATGCGGTCTTTATGACACAGCAAAGGGGCTCATTGGTTTTTGTTTTGGTTGGTCATTTTGGTGCATATATATAATTTGTCATTGATAAGAGAATGTATCATTAAATTCAAACTGTACACTGCCCACAGAAGGCTGGGGATGCTGTCTGGCTAGGTTGGACTATTAGACCCGTAGTATCCGTCCTGAATTGTCTCATCTTGTTCCTCATCTTCTTTCCTTTTAGGCCTCTGTTTCTGGAGTCCAAGCAGAATTGCTCACATTTCCCAACTCCTCTCCTGGCCTCAGAAGACGGAAGAGAGACTGGGTTATTCCTCCTATCAGCTGCCCAGAAAATGAAAAAGGCCCATTTCCTAAAAACCTGGTTCAGGTAGAGAAAGAAGTTCTCTATTTCTCTGGGAGGGATTTGGCAGAGAAGTACCAAGAAGAGAAACGGAAAAGACCGAATGTTGGTATCCTTCTTTACTAATACTTTTTCTTTCATTTTGTTTTCAGATCAAATCCAACAAAGACAAAGAAGGCAAGGTTTTCTACAGCATCACTGGCCAAGGAGCTGACACACCGCCTGTTGGTGTCTTTATTATTGAAAGAGAAACAGGATGGCTGAAAGTGACAGAGCCTCTGGATAGAGAAAACATTGCCACATACACTGTAAGTATCTCTTAGAAGCTTGTTGACACTGGGGTAACATCCATCCAGGATTTTTTGGTCAACCCACATGAGGAGCTTGACACCTCTTGACCTGTTGCTAAGGAGAAATGATGGGAGAATGTGGGACAGTTTGGGGTTGTTAATTTTTCTCCTTGTCAGGAAGAAAGGAAGGAGAATCCCCATGCATCCTCATACAACCAGGGCAAATTTAGACCCAAGATGTCAACCTGTTCTTGGGGCTGGAAGTCCCTGACCTAAAGGAACAGGACAGTGATGATAAAAGGGAACAAAACCCATTTCTTGGGCTTGGCAGCAGCAAGAGCTTGAGGAAACCAAGAAGTTTTTTTTTTTTTTTTTTTTTTTTGAGATAGAGTTTTGCTCTGTCACCCAGGCTGGAATGCAATAACGTGATCTCAGCTTACCACAACCTCCACTTCCTGGGTTCAAGTGATTCTCCTGCTTCAGCCTCCTGAGTAACTGGATTATAGGCAACTGCCATCACGCCAAACTGATTTTTTGTGTTTTTAGTAAGATGGGATTTTACCATGTTGGCCAGAGTGGTCTCAAACTCCTGAACTCAGGTGATTCACCCTACTTGGCCTCCCAAAGTGCTGGAATTACAGGAGTGAGCCACCGTGCCCGGCTTCCAAGAGGTCATTTTTTTTGTTTTGGTTTTGGTTTTGGATTTTTTTTTTTTTTTGAGACAGAGTCTACCTATG